CCAAGAGTGGCGTGGACAACTCGCTAGCCGCTAGATCAATCAAGAGGATGGACCGTTTGGCGACATAGCTTCGTCAAACACGTTGCTTACTTGGTGTTTTAGTTGAAGTTCATAAGACACCGTATGGAAAGCATTTGCCTCCTCATGTGTTTGACATTTTGTTTGCTTTGGTCAGAAGATGTCCAAGCCCTGCTGGCCTTATTCCTAGAAGATATACGGTACATGGAACCACAAGTGATCCTGAAGAAAGCCTCTCTACAGTCAGATGTGAGCAGATCCTCGTCATTCAAGGTGCACACATGTTATGTTTGTTTACAATGAATGGGGTCAACACGTATATTGATTTATTTCGCACTTGCTGAAATAGAGCAGGAAGTTCCGAAAGAGGTGTTGCTGGGAGTCGTCCCAATTCACCTACGGAATTGGTTGTCTCAGCAGGAGCAATTCGCACTATTTCCCTGTGCCTTTGTCGTGGGAATAGGTGTGTTTTCTTGTTGGCTTGCAACCACACATGGTGCAAATCAGACAAATTGTCCTCATTAAAGGTGCTGCTCTTCATTGTCAGGGCCCCCACTAAATGACAGGTAGTTGACCCCCATAAGATTCCTTAAGATTCTGAACATTATAGAACCAGTTTTTTAATTGCCATATCAATTTTCCATCTTCTTCATGACAGGTTCTTTGCATTCGGTGGTTTAACCAGGTGCTTTTGTAGACCATTTGGCCAAACCGGACGTGACAGGATGGCATCGACTTCTCCGGGACGCGAGGCGCAGAGAATCGGTCTGGCAGCAACAAAGGTACAAGACCTGTACGATACTGAAGTTGTAGACATGTGTAGACTGTAGATTAGATGTGCAAAGCGCAAAGCGACACAGCGAGATTAATGGTTTCATCTGGTTCACAAACGAAGACACGACGTACAAGTGTATTTGGACTCACGAGGTCTGCCGCTTTGTATCCAGGCAAGCGCGACGACGAGCCAGTACCGCAGGTGCAAGCAGAGTCATGGAGCCCAAGATGGGAGAGTTTGGTTTTATGTGTTGATGCCGAAACACTGACCTACTAGACTAGGAACAAGGACGCTACTAGGGGCTCCTGGCCTTACTACTAGGAACAAGAACGCTACTAGGAACAAAGGGCATCGCTACTAGGAGCAA